AAACGCTCTAATTGTAGAGATACTTCAAAACTCTGTGCTCGGGAGGCCCTCTAATGCTATGAACTTAACCGTCACACGCCTGGCGTACTTCCTGCATGAATCGCAAGGCCACAACTCAAACATACACGCCACCGATCAAAACGCCAGAAACATAAAGGCTGCAGTCCGTTCCAAGGGAAACAGCTTCACCGAAGCCTACCCATAAACCCTAAGCCATTATCAACGCCAGAAACCGTAGCAAATATCAGCAACAGCAGATATACCACAACTCTACCACGCACGCAGCTCAACATCTGCTTCTACACAACCTCCAACGCTAAACGCCCTAATTGTTGGCATACGTAAGAACGGTGGCTGCGATGTCCTCTTATGCTATGATCTGAACCGTCACACGCCTGGCATACTTGGTGCATCAGTCGCAAGGCCACAACTCAAACATACACGCCACCGATCAAGGCGCCGGATCATAAAGGCTGCAGTCCGTTCCAAGGGAAACAGCTTCACCGAAGCTTGCGCATAAACCTCAAACCACTATCAACGCCAGAAACCGTAGCAAATACCACTCACTGCATATATACCAGAACTCTACCACGCACGCAACGCAACATCTGCTTCTACACAACCTCCAACATTAAACGCCCTAATTGTAGGGATACTTCAAAGCGTTCTGCTCGCGATGTCCTCTAATGCTATGAGCTGAACCGTCACACGCCGCGCATACTCGCTGCATGAATCGCAAGGCCACAACTCAAACATACACGCCACCGATCAAAACGCCGGATCATAAAGGCTGCAGTCCGTTCCAAGGGGAACAGCTTCAGCGAAGCCTACGCATAAACTCTAAACCACTATTAACGCCAGAAACCGTAGCCAATATCAGCAACTGCATATAAACCAGAACTATGCCATGCACGCAACTCAACATCTGCTTCTACACAACCTCCAACGCTAAACGCCCTAATTGTAGGCATATATCAAACCATTGTGCTCGCTATGTCCTCCAATGCTATGAACTGGACCGTCACACGCCTGGCGTACTCGCTACATCAATCGCAAGGCCACAACTTAAACATACATGCAACCGATCAAAACGCCAGATCATAAAGGCTGCAGTGCGTTCCAAAGGAAACAGCTTCAGCGAAGCCTACGCATAAACCCTAAACCACTAGCAACGCCAGAAACCTTAGCAAATATCAGCCACTGCATGTAGACCACACACCTACCATGCACGTGAATCCCCATCATCCCTGTCAAAGCCCCCAAAGCCTAGATGCAGCGCTAGAAGAGTTATTCCAAGGACTTTGATCCTCGCGATGTCCTCTAATGCAATGAACTGAACCGTCACACGCCGCGCATACTCGCTGCATCAGTCCCCAGGCCACAACTCAAACATACACGCCACCGATCAAAGCGCCGGATCATAAAGGCTGCAGTCCGTTCCAAGGGAAACAGCTTCAGCGAAGCCTACGCATAAACCCTAAGCCACTATCAACGCCACAAACCGTAGCAAGTATCAGGAACAGCAGATATACCACAACTATACCATGCACGCAGCTCAACATCTGCTTCTACACAACCTCCAACGCTAAACGCACTAATTGTAGGGATACTTCAAAACGCTGTGCTCGGGATGTCCTCTAATGCTTTGAACTTAACCGTCACACGCCTGGCGTACTCGCTGCATCAATCGCAAAGCCACAACTCAAACATACACGCCACCAATCAAAATGCCGGATCATAAAGGCTGCAGTCCGTTCCAAGGGAAACAGCTTCAGCGAAGCCTACGCATAAACCCTAAACCACTATCAACGCCAGAAACTGTAACACATATCAGCCACAGCAGATATACTACAACCCTACCTTGCGCCGAACTCAACATCTGCTTCTCCACAACCTCCAACGCTAAACGCACTAATTGTAGGGATACTTCAATGCCTTGATGGTTGCCATGTCCTCTAATGCTGTGAACTGAACCGTCACACGCCTGGCATACTTCCTGCGTCAATAGCAAGGCCACAACTCAAACATACACGCCACCGATCAAAACGCCAGAAACATAAAGGCTGCAGTCCGCTCCAAGGGAAACAGCTACAGCAAAGCTTGCGCATAAACCCTAAACCACTATCAACGCCAGCAACCGTAGCAAATACCAGCCATAGCAGATATACTGCACCTCTACCATCAACATGAATGAACATCAGCTTCTCCACAACCTCCAACGCTAAACGCCCTAATTGTAGGGATACTTCAAAACGTTGTGCTCGGGAGGCCCTCTAATGGTATGAACTGAACCGCTACACAACTCGCGTACTTCCTGCACCAATCGCAAGGCCACAACTCAAACATACACGCCACCGATCAAAATGCCGGATCATAGAGGCTGCAGTCCGTTCCAAAGGAAACAGCTTCAGCGAAGCTTAAGCATAAACCCTAAACCACTATCAAAGCCACAAACCGTAGCAAATATCGGAAACAGGAGATATACCACAACTCTACCACGCAACCAACTCAGCATCTGCTTCTACACAACCTCCAACGCTAAACGCCGTAATTGTAGGCATATTTCAAACCGTTGTGCTCGCCATGTCCTCTAATGCTATGAACTTAACCGTCACACGCCTGGCGTACCTCCTGTTTCAATCGCAAGGCCACACCTCAAACATACACGCCACCGATCAAAGTGCCGGATCATAAAGGCTTCAGTCCGTTCCAAGGGAAACAGCTTCAGCGAAGCTTACGCATAAACCCTAAACCACTACCAACGCCAGAAACCGTAGCACATATCAGCCACAGCAGATATACCACAACTCCACCTTGCACGCAACTCAACATGTGCGTCTCCACAACCGACAATGCGAAACGCCCTACTTGTAGGGTTACTGCAAAACGTTGCGCTCGCGATGTCCTCTACTGCTATGAACTGACCCGTCAGGCGCCGGGCGTACATCCTGCGTCAATCGCAAGGCCACACCTCAAACATACACGCCACCGATCAAAACGCCGGATCATAAAGGCTGCAGTCCGTTCTAATGGAAACGGCCTCACCGAAGCCTACGCATAAACCCTAAACCACTATCAACGCCACAAACCGTAGCAAATACCACTCACTGCATATATACCAGAACTCTACCACGCACGCAACGCAACATCTGCTTCTACACAACCTCCAACATTAAACGCCCTAATTGTAGGCATACTTCAAAACGTTGTGCTCGCGATGTCCTCTAATGCAATGAACTGGACCGCCACACGCCGCGCATACTCGCTGCATGAATCGCAAGGCCACAACTCAAACATACATGCCACCAATCAAAACGCCGGATCATAAAGGCTGCAGTCCGTTCCAAGGGAAACAGCTTCAGCGAAGCTTGCGCATAAACTCTAAGCCACTATCAACGCCACAAACCGTAGCAAATATCAGCAACAGCAGATATCCCACAACTATGCCACGCACGCAGCTCAACTTCTGCTTCTACACAACCTCCAACGCTAAACGCCCTAATTCTAGGCATATTTCAAACCGTTGTGCTCGCCATGTCCTCTACTGCTATGAACTTAACCGCTGCACAACTCGCGCACTTCCTGCACCAATCGCAAGGCCACAACTCAAACATAAGCGCCACCGATCAAAATGCCGGATCATAAAGGCTGCAGTCGGTTGCAAGGGAAACAGCTTCAGCGAAGCCTACGCATAAACCCTAAACCACTATGAAAGCTAGAAACCGTAGCAAATATCAGCCACAGCAGATATACCACAACACTGCCATGCACGTAAATCAACATCAGCTTCTCGAAAGCCCCCAAAACCTTGACGCAGCGCGTGAAGAGATATTTCAAAGCCGCGGATGATCGCGGTGTGCTATAATGACATGACCGCAATCCTCACACGCCTGGCGTACTCGCTGCACCAATCGCAAGGCCACACCTGAAACATACACCCCACCAATCAAAACGCCGGATCATAAAGGCTGCAGTCCGTTCCAAGGGAAACAGCCTCAGCGAAGCTTACGCGTAAGCCCTAAGCCACTATCAACGCCAAAAACCGTAGCAAATATCAGCAACAGCAGATATACCACAACCATGCCACGCACGCAACTCAACATCTGCTCTACACAATCTCCAACGCTAAACGCCCTGATTGTAGGCATACGTCAAAGTGTTGTGCTCGCGATGTCGTCTAATGCTATGAACTGAACCGTGACACGCCTGGCATACTAGCTGCATCAATCACACGGCCACAACTCAAACATACACGCCACCGATCAAAACGCCGGATCATAAAGGCTGCAGTCCGTTCCAAGGGAAACAGCTTCAGCGAGGCTTACGCATAAACCCTAAACTACTATCAAAGCCACAAACCGCAGCAAATATCAGCAACAGCAGATATACCACAACACTGCCATGCACGCAACTCAACATCTGCTTCTGCAGAACCGCCAACGCTAAACGCCCTAATTGTAGGCATACTTCAAAAGGTTGATGACTGCGATGTCCTCTAATGCTATGAGCTGAAGCGCCACACGCCTGGCATACTAGCTGCATCACCCGCAAGGCCACAACTCAAACATACACGCCACCGATCAAAGCGCCGGATCATAAAGGCTGCAGTCCGTTCCAAGGGAAATAGCTTCAGCGAGGCTTACGCACAAACCCTAAACCACTATGAATGCCACAAACTGTAGCACATATCAGCAACAGCAGATATACCACAACTCTACCATGCACGCAGCTCAACATCTGCTGCTACAAAACCCCCCACGGCTAAACGCCCTAGTTGTAGGCATACTTCAAACCGTTGTGCTCGCGATGTCCTCTAATGCTATGAACTGAACCGTCACACGCTTTACGCACTTCCTGCATCAATCGCAAGGCCACAACTCAAACGTACACGCCACCAATCAAAACGCTGGATCATAAAGGCTGCAGTCCGTTCCAAGGGAACCAGCTTCAGCGAAGCTTACGCATAAACCCTAAACCACCATCAACGCCAGAAACCGTAGCAAATATCAGCCACTGCATATATACCACAACTCTACCACGCACGCAACTCAACATCTACTTCTCCACACCCTCCACCTCTAGACGCCCTAATTGTAGGGATACTTCAAAACGTTGATGATTGCGATGCCCTCCAATGCTATGAACTGAAACCTCGCACCCTTCGCATACTAGCTGCATCACGCACAAGGCCACAACTCAAACATACACGCAACCGATCAAAACGCCAGACCATAAAGACTGCAGTCCGTTCCAAGGTAAACAGCTTCAGCGAAGCCTACGCATAAACCGTAAACCACTATCAACGCCACAAACCGTAGCAAATATCAGCAACAGTAGACATACCACAATTATACCATGCACGTGCATCAACGTCTGCTTCTACACAACCTCCAACGCTAAACGCCCTAATTGTACTGATACTTCAAAACGTTCTGCTCGCGATGTCCCGGAAAGCGGTGTGCTGGAGAGTCACACGCCTGCGTACTTGCTGCACCAATTGCAAGGCCACAACTCAAACATAAACGCCACCGATCAAAACGCCGGATCATAAAGGCTGCAGTCCGTTCCAAGGGAAACAGCTTCAGCGAAGCCTACGCATAAACCCTAAACCACTATCAAAGCCACAAACCGTGGCCAATATCAGCAACAGCAAATATACCACAACTATGCCATGCACGCAGCTCAACATCTGCTTCTACACAACCTCCAACGCTAAACGCCCTAATTGTAGGCATACTTCAAAAAAAACGTCGCGATGCCCTCCAATGCTATGAGCTGAACCGTCACACCCCTGGCATACGATCTTCATCAATCGCAAGGCCACAACTCAAACATACACGCCACCGATCAAAATGCCGGACCATAAAGGCTACAGGCCGTTCCAAGGGAAACAGCTTCAGCGAAGCCTACGCACAAACCCTAAACCACTATCAGCGCCGGAAGCCGCCTAAACCACTATCAGCGCCGGAAGCCGTAGCAAAATTTAGCCACTGCATATACACGACACCTCTACCATGCACGTGAATCAGCATCTGCTTCTCCACAACCGACAAAGCTAAACGCCCTAATTGTAGGGATGCGTCAAAACGTTGACGATTGCGATGTCCTCTAATGCTATGGACTGAACTGTCACTCCCCTCGCGTACTCGCTGCATCAATCGTAAGCCCACAATTCAAGCATACACGCCACCAATCAAAACGCCGGATCATAAAGGCTGCAGTCCGTTCCAAGGGAAACAGCTTCAGCGAAGCCTACGCGTAAACCCTAAACCACTATCAACGCCAAAAACTGTAGCCAATATCAGCCACAGCAGATACACCACAACAATATAATGCACGTGAATGACCATCTGCTTCTCCACAACCTCCAACGCTAAACGCCCTAATTGTAGGGATTGTTCAAAACGCTGTGCTCGCGATGTCCTCTACTCCTATGAACTGAACCGTCACACGCCGCGCATACTAGCTGAATCATTCGCAAGGCCACAACTCAAACATACACGCCACCGATCAAAACGCCGGATCATAAAGGCTGCAGTCCGTTCCAAGGGAAACAGCTTCAGCGAAGCTTACGCATAAACCCTAAACCACTATCAAAGCTAGAAACCGTAGCAAATATCAGCAACAGC